GGGGGGGGGGGGGGGGGGGGGGGGGGGGGGGGGGGGGGGGGGGGGGGGGGGGGGGGGGGGGGGGGGGGGGGGGGGGGGGGGGGGGGGGGGGGGGGGGGGGGGGGGATTGTGAGATCTCACATTGGTTGAGGAGAACGAAACACACTTTATAAGGGTGTGGAAACCTCTCCCTAGCAGACACATTTTAAAAACTTTGAGGGGAAGCCTGAAAGGGAAAGCCCAAAGAGGTCAATATCTGCTAGCGATGAGCTTGAGCGTTAAATGGTGTAATTCTAAGTGATTTTTTGTTTGCAATTCTAAGAAGGTATGTATGGCTTGTTTTCTCTATTGTTCATATGATTTATCTCTTTATCTTATTGAAACAAAACAACATTTTATCCACAGAACAAACAAGTAATGTCATTGGATATTGGACTACTCGTATCTGGTGCAAAGGAAAGGGGAGAATTGGAGGCACGTGTTACTGCACTAATTAACGAGATAACAGAATCAGGTCGAGGCTTAGTGTAACATTTTTAAATTTTTTTTTATGGATAACCGGCAAAACATTTGAAAGTTTACACATCTATGTTACGGTTGGCTTGCAGGCAATATTATCCTTTTCATTGATGAAGTCCATTCACTTGCTGAGCTTGGCGCAGCTGGAGGTGGAAGTAAAGGGTCTGGTCTTAACTTCGCTAATTTATTGAAACCGTCACTTGGGAGAGGAAAACTGCAGGTATCTTCACTTAATTTTTAACGGTTATCATGTTGAAGTGCCTAAATGATCTTGTGAACTATGCTTAGCTTTTACTGCTTGGAAATAATGTATACTATGTCATGTATTAGTTTTTACATAACTCGCTCAGATGATAGTATTGGCTTTGCCATAATTGATATTGTGATTAAGTAGTATGAGTATTTGCATGTGTTTTGTCCTTCATTAACCGTATATTAGTGTAACAGCCCAAGTCCACGCTAGCAGATATTGTCTTCTTTGGGCTTTCCCTTGAGATGAAGTTTTTAAAACGTGTTTGCTAGGGAGAGGTTTCCACACCCTTATAAAGAATGTTTCGTTCTCCTCCCCAATCGATGTGGAATCTCACAGGCACACCTCCTCGTGTCCACCAACTTTTGGGTCTTAACCTCCTCACTGGCACATCGTCTGGGGTCTGGCTCCGATACCATTTGTAACCATCAAAGTCCACTGTTAGGAGATATTGTCCTCTTAAGACTTTCCTTTTCGGGCTTTCTCTCAAGGTTTTAAAATGCATCTTCTAGGAAGAGGTTTCCACACCCTTATAAAGAATGTTTCGTTCTCCTCCCCTACCGACGTAGAATCTCACAATGAGTGACAAAATGGACTAAGTTCAAATTGTTTTCTCTTAGAAATGCTTTTGTATTTGAATTTTTATGTCAATCTCTTGATCATTTACTTAGGCCAATCAAGAATCATATTTCTGTTCTCTCCGCGTGTGCGTTATATCCGTCGTCCACTCAAGTCATTTTTGGTGCATAACTATTTCATTGCTGGCAGTGTATTGCTTCCACCACAATTGGTGAATACAGAAAGAAATTTGAGACTGATAAAGCATTAGCGCGACGATTCCAGCCTGTGCTGATCGAGGAGCCAAGCCAGGTAATTTTTCCATTTCTTAATTGTATGTTATGCACAAACCATTCATTTTTCAATGTTTAATGAGATAGGATCCTAAATATAGGATAATGCAGTGCGAATGTTGCTGAGCATTCGTGAGAAGTACGAGGCTCACCACAACTGCAGGTTTACATTTGAAGCGATAAACGCTGCTGTATATCTGTCTGCAAGATACATAAGTGATAGGTATCTTCCGGATAAGGCTATCGATCTCATCGACGAAGCAGGTAGTAGAGCTCGTATGGAAGCCTTTAAGAAGAGAAAAGAATTGCAGACTTCTATACTCTCTAAATCACAGGATGAGTATTGGCAAGAAATTAAGGCCATTCAGGCTATGCATGAAATGGTATTGTTTTTGCATATTTGATATTATTGCTCAAATCTGTGATCATTATTGATATCTCTTCTTCCGCTATGAACAGAATCTGGCCAATAAACTCAAAGATGGTGAAGTACAAAGCTTGGATTCTTCTGGGAATAACATCGTGGAGTCGACTTTATCTTCGATGTCAGATAATTTTGAGTATGAAACTTCAATATGAAAAATGTTATTTGTTGGCCCAAACAATTTTTTTAAAAAGAGTATTGATTCATTCTGTTATTTGTTCCAGACCTGTGGTGGTCGGACCGGATGATGTCGCAGCAGTTACTTCTCTTTGGTCAGGCATCCCAGTTCAGCAGCTAACGGTTGATGAGAGCGTTCTTCTGATGGGTCTCGACGAACAGCTCAAAAAGCAAGTTGTCGGGCAAGATGAGGCTATTTCTGCAATTTCTCGAGCTGTTAAACGGTCTCGGGTTGGGCTTAAGGATCCCGACCGACCTTTAGCAGTTCTACTTTTTTGTGGCCCTACTGGAGTTGGCAAGACCGAGCTAACTAAAGTTCTGGCTAGGTGCTACTTCGGTTCGGTAATACCTTCATTATTATCATTATTTACAGCCCTCTACACATATATTGTTTGATTGTCACTTTTTCTGTAACCGAAAGATTAGAAGTTTGAACGCCACCCCTACATGTTGAACTCAAACCCCTCATAAACTCGTCCTCCACCGTATGTTCTGTGACTTAATTGCGTGCAGAGTTTACGCTAGCCGTTGAATATTACTGACAACGTCTATTTTGCATTTCGACACTAAACATAACATTCGTGCAGGAAGCAGCTATGCTAAGACTGGACATGAGCGAATATATGGAGCGGCATTCTGTGAGTAAACTAATCGGATCACCTCCAGGATATCTCGGCTATGGAGACGGCGGAACATTAACAGAAGCAATTAGAAGGAAGCCATTTACAGTTGTATTGCTCGACGAGATAGAGAAAGCTCATCCAGATGTTTACAACATCGTCCTCCAGTTGTTTGAAGACGGACACCTTACAGATTCTCAGGTTCGTGCTCATTGTACTCCAAGATTAGTGCTGTTTTTTACTGTCTTACATTTCAAATCGGGACCGACAGGGACGGAGAGTGTCGTTTAAGAACGCATTGATAGTAATGACATCAAACATCGGTTCGACTTCAATCATAAAGGGTAGACATCACTCCATCGGTTTCTTTACTTCAGAAGACGAGTCATCTAGTTCATATGCAGGAATGAAATCTCTTGTGATAGAGGAACTCAAGGGGTATTTTCGTCCTGAGTTGCTGAATCGGATAGACGAGATAGTCGTGTTCCAACCCCTTCAAAAGGCTCAGGTTAGTCCGGTTTGTTCTTTTTTGTTTCGAAATAACTACGGCTCGACCTCTCTCGTCTTCACCTAAATGCAAACCTGGATTGAACTCATTGAGACACTGATTTAGTTTTTCATACGATTGGTTTGCATTGTTTCACATTAGATGCTTGAGATCTTAAACCTGATGCTTCAAGAAGTAAAGGATAGGCTCATGTCGCTTGGGATGGGTCTAGAGTTATCAGAGTCAGTAAAGGATCTCATATGCCAAGTAGGGTATGACCAAGCTTATGGTGCTAGGCCTCTTAGGAGAGCCGTTACCTTGATAGTTGAAGACCCTTTAAGTGAGGCATTCCTTTATGGTGATCCAAAGCCTGGTGATACTTTTGTTGTTGATTTGGATCCTACAGGGAACCCCTTTGTAAAAAACCAAGTCTACCAATGATTTAGGATCGAATTGTATAGTTTCGTATATTTAATGTATAGCTATGTCGAGTTTTCGACAAATATTCTTTGAAAAGAGTATACATACGACCAATAATGACTGTATTTGTCTTTTTTCGGTCGAATATAGAAAATAACAGCAACTTCATAGACTTTTAAAGCTTTCCACGTTTCTGAATGTTACTTATGTCCTTGCTAGAAGTGATAGGAAGCGAAACCTATTTGATAGATATCTGAATGTAACAGCCAAAGCCTACTGCCAGTAGTTGAAGGAGGGTGGATTATGAGATCCCACGTTGGTTGGGAGGATAACGACATATTCTTTATAAGGGTGTGGATTGTGAGATCCCATGTTGGTTATAACGAAACATTTTTTATAAGGGTGTGAAATTCTTTTCCTAAAAAAACACATTTTAAAAACCTTGAGGGGAAGTTCGAAACGGAAAGCCCAAAGAGGACACTATCTATTAGTGGTGGGTTTGGGTTGTTGCATTGAAAGTTTGAACATTGTTAGAGATAAAACAGTTGATTTTGATGTACGTGCAATTGAGGTTTCATATTGAATCTATTACATATGAACGAAGATAATTACCTCCATTTTTACGAGATTTTTTGAGTGAATTAAAATAGAATCACGAGGGTTCATGTTATTGTGGAGGGCTCGTTGTTGTTAATAGAGCAAGACTGGATGTTTAAATTTTTTTATTCATTTACGATTTTAGATGCGTCTAATTAACTAATTTTGAGTAAAATTTTGAAATTTTTACTAACCACTAATGATATGACATAAATTGATAATAGTAAATCTAATATTAACTCGATGGATAAGAGTAAATCTAATAGTATGGATGTACATTGAACCCAATAACCCGAACCAACCCAACTCGAATCATAGGGGTTGGATTGGGTTGAGTTAGCATTTTCGAGTTGGATTGGGATAATTTTCTGAAACCGAAAAATATTCGGTTTGGGTTTCAGATTCATTGGACAAAATCTTATAAAATATATTGGCTTTAACCGGACAAAAAAATTAATTAGTTAAAATATTATTATTTAAAAAGAAACTAAAAAAATTAATTTTTTTTTAGCTTTTAGAATATCTATTTTAGTGCGGAATCTCTTAAAAATAAAAATAATCATGTTGATTCTTATTTTTAACATTAATAATGTAAATATTTAAAAAAAAATAATAATTTTAATAAATAAAAATATATTATACAAATTGAAAGTTTTATGATGAAATTACAATATACATAAATGTGCATGAGTTAACTGTGTAAAGCTGCGAAGCGCACGGGAACTTTCTCTTCAGCTTCTTTCAGAAAAGTTTCGGAGATTGCCGAAAACAGAGCATTGATGATGGATGAGAATTGAAGAACGAACTGGAAGATTTCGGTAAACAGTGTTAAATCCACTACTTTGTGTGTTCCATTCTCTCTGGTTTTGATTTCTAGGTCAAGCAAATCTGGGATCCTCGATCGCTTGTTCCTTGTTTTGTTGCAATCGATCATGGCGTCTTCTGGCAGCGGATTGACATTCAAGCTGCACCCTCTTGTGATTGTGAACATTTCCGATCACTACACTAGGGTTAAGTCTCAGATGAATCCTCCGTCCTCTTGCTGCTCAGCTCCATCTCCTTGCGCCTTGAGTAATGACGCCGATGTAGCCGATTCTGTGGACCTTACCACTTCTCCTCCCGCACCTAGGGTTTATGGTTGTGTTGTTGGCGTTCAGAGGGGCCGCACGGTTGAGATCTTTAACAGCTTTGAGCTTCTTTATGACCCCAAAACTCAATCACTGGACCGCACTTTCCTTGAGAAGAAGCAAGAGCTCTGTTAGTAATTTCCGACGTCTCTTTCATTTTTCTTTCGCTTTTTGGTTGGTGTTGATTTTGTTGTTTATGATGATTAAGTTGCTCTCTTTTTCGGAACAGATAAGAAAGTTTTTCCCCACTTCTACATTTTGGGTTGGTATTCTACTGGGAGTGATGCCCTGGAGTCTGACATGCATATCCATAAGGCTGTGAGTTACCATTTGAACTGCTGTCTTACTATCTTGACACAGAGTTGTTTACATGGCTTTCACATTCTCAAGTGTACTGCGCTTATTGAAATTTTAAACGGACTCTTAATTCCTAAAGAATTTTATTTGCGCACCTGAGAATTGTGAGTCTTAGTTTCACCGGAGTTCTGTAGTTATTAGATAGGTTTCCTTTCAAATTGGAGTCCGTTCTTTCTTAATTAGGGTTTGAATTCCTTTTGTGGGGATGGATTTTTGTATGTTCTTGTATTTGTTTTCATTCTTCTTGATGTGATGAGAACTTGGTTTCTCATTAAAAAAACACATACCTGAGATTCAAAAGATGTCCAATTTAGTATTAACTCTATTACTTCTTTCTGCCTCTCTCCCTGCGTACGTGTATGTGTGGATGCGCGTACAGACTCCAATTAGATTAGAGGACAGTATTTTGATGGCCAATTTTTTTGATCCTCTGGCCAGCCTTCTCACAAGGTTTGACATTGAATTCCAATTGACTTAATTCGATCCATCTTCCTGCTCAATCGCTTCCTTGAAAAGACTCTGACTCTCAAGACCCTTTACAGCGCTTCCATAGTCACTGCTAGTAGTTTTACTCCCTTCAAAGAAAAACAATTTTCTCAACTTTTAACCCAATTTCTTACACCTTTTACTTAGAATCACACAATTTGAACTCCTATAATGCCCTCTAATTTCAATAAGCTCATCCTTACTTCGCCTTGAAAATACAATGAATGTATTTTTGGTGAAATGGTTTTGGAAATTTTAGTTGGAGCCTAATTCTTTGTGGCGAAGGTTTTGAATGGGTCTCTAGTGGTAGGTTTAAGGGTTTTTATAGGATCGCATGGTTTGCTATTGCTTTAGGATATCCTTTGTTCTCTCAGTTCATTAAATGTTGTATTAGGGATGGTTCAAATACCTACTTCTAGGAGGATTGTTGGGTGGGAGAGAAACCTTAGTGTTCCTTGTTCCCTAGTCTTTACCACCTATCAGAGAAGATGTTACACTTGATGTTCTCTATCTTGCCTTCCTCTGACAATTCTTCATTGTCTTTGTTGTTGTGCACTTTTTGATCGTGAGGCTTGTTAGATTGTCAATCTCCTATGCTTTTGGGGAGAAGGACTCTTGGACTTGCCTTCCAAAGCTCTCGAAGGCGTTTCCCATAGTTATTTTGTTTGGATTCTTTGTGCCCCTTCTTCCCCTAAGGGTCTACGTGTTTCTCCCTTTAGAATGTTAAAATTCCTTATAAAGTGATTATTATGTTTTTTGCATGGCAAGTTTTGCATGGGAGAGTGAATACTCTTGATCTTATCTAGAGGCTTTCTTCCATGGTGTTTTGTTGTGTCTTTAATGGTCTGCCCTTTGTAGGAGAGAGGAAGAGGATCTTGACTATTTATTTTGGGACTGTGTGTTTGTTACCTCCTTGTGGAACAAATTTTTTAGGACCGTTGGGGTTGCGCTTGCTCGTAATAGAGGTTGTTTGATATTTGAGGAGGTGCCCTTGAATTGTCCCTTTCGTGACAAAAGAAAGGGCTCTTTGGCAATCTCAAATGTTTTTTACTTTGTTGTGGACCATTTGGCTGAATAGGAATAGTAGTTTTTTTGTGGGGTTAAGCAATCTAGGGAGGACCTTCTGCACGTCTTTGATTTGATTCATCCATGTGGGCCACTGTTAATACAATTGTTTTTTTTTTTTTTTTTTTTTTTTTTTTTTTTTTTTTTTTTTTTTTTTTTTTTTTTTTTTTTTTTTTTTTTTTTTTTTTTTTTTGTTGTTGTTGTTGTTGTTGTAATTATTAGTTTAGTATGATTCTTCTGGATTGGAGCCCCTTGTTGCAATTGGGTGTGTGGGCTATTTTGTTTTTGGGCTTGTTTTTGTATTGCCCGTATTTCCTATTTATCTATCTCAATGAAAGCTAGTTTCTCATAAAAGAAACTGATGAATGTATTTCCAGTATTTTTTATTAGGTTTCCTAACCTTAGATTACTGACAGCTTTTTGCCTAAGACAATCGCCTTTTTAGTAGTACTCTCTTATCAAGAGGGTTTACAAAGTGCGACTTTCAACTAGCTCAATGCTCATCAAATTTAGATGGGAAGTCTACCGTGGAGAATGGATTTCTTACGTTGTTATTTAAGTGTTGAATGAAAGAATGGTATTGTTAGGATCTATTGACATGTTCAGAGTATAGATAAGATTATGATCACTACACAAAGCTCCCTCCCTTCCTCCCTCCCCTTCTCAAACCTTAACCTTGGCCTCCCACCGCCACACCTCAGTCCTTTGGGGAGTAGAGAATGGAACTAGGAAGCACCTTTCTCTTTTTTCTACCAATGCCTTGGGTATTTTATCTTGTGGAAATTAGTAACTAGGTAATTGGTCTGAAGTTCTTATTTTTAGTTCTCTAGGCTCTCTGTGTGAGGGCAAAGGAATGTTTCATTTGTATTCCTACCATACCCTCTCAGAAAACTTCGAACACTCAAACTAAATCTTCTTCATCTCTCGGCTGCTCAGGGAAAAAAGAAAAAAATATATTTATATTAAGCGGAAGGGGGAATTGGGTGGGGGCAAGGATGGAGAATATAATCTTGTCCCCTGCCCCATTTATCTAATGGGGAAAGAATATTCCCCATTCCCTGTCTAAATGGGGGATCCCCTCCCCATTCAGGGTGGGGGCCCCGTAGGTAAAATTGATATCTCTACTTGCAAGCTCAGAAAAAGTAATTGAATGCCCAAAAGAACTAATCACAATTGATTCACCGCTTGCAAGTCCTCTACTGAAGAAGCAAGTTAATCACACTTTATCACATATTCCACCCAGCAACCCACCCAACAAACCTATTTACACTATTCTGCAAATCATCCGTGCATTCCACTACTACACTATTCTAATTCCACTTAGTGAGCAAATCCAACAAGCCCTCACTACTAATTCATCTGGTACACCATTCGGACACACATTCCACTATTCCAACCAGCAATAGAGGAAGAACAAGGTCCTTTCAAATATTCTTGTGATAGAGGAAAAACAACCTCATCCTAACAATCACTCGCATAAGGTTGTGATATTCATAAATGAAGCAGAAACTTGAAGTAGATGTTGCAGTTTCATGTGTGTAGCCCATTTCCACTAGAAGTTTGGGCAGCAATTTTGGCACTCAACTGGTTGAGAATCCAGAATTTTAAGGAAGGTCCAAGTAGAAAGGAGGTCCATAATATAATATATCATACTTCAAATGGGAAATAGGATTTATTTTCTTCCCTTTTGATTATTTCACCATCATGTCAAGAAAAATCTGAAAACGTTCTTCCAATTGTCATCACAAATCATCAAAATCTGAGATTCATATTTGAAGTATTTAATAATGGAGGGAACCAAGGTGCTGGAGGAAGAAAAAGAGGGGATAGAACTAAGATCTTCAATTTCGTCAAGGCAGGACTCCAATTCTCGGATGGGAGTATCGGATGGTACCTTTAGAAAAGCCACTACTTGAGAAGTGAGCACTAGAGAGGCAAACAACGCCCGTGGAAGTACTCTAAGAGTGAGCATGAGAGAGACCAGTGACGTCCATGGAAGTGCTCTAGGAGGAGTGAGCATGAGAGAGACCAGTGACGTCCATGGAAGTGCTCTAAGAGGAGTGAGCATGAGAGAGACCAGTGACGTCCATGGAAGTGCTCTAAGAGGAATGGGCATGAGAGAGACAAGCCATGCTCGTAGAAGTGCTCCAAGAAGAGTGAGCACGAGAGATGCAAGTAACGCTTGTGGAAGTGCTCTAAGGGGATAGCATACATGAGTTATGTGTTCTCACAACTTCAACTGACAGATGTGCTAACAAAAGGACTTCATAGCTTACTACATCATGAGTTAGTATCCTAGCTATGAATGAATGATATCTATTACTCAGCTTAGGGGGAGTGTCGAAGGATTAGCCTTAAGTTAGGAGATATTTGTGTAATACCATTAAGTATGGGAAGTAGACGACCTCCCTAATCTATCTCTATTATTACTTAGTATCTAGGGATTTATTTAAATTTATTGTTAGTTGCTATCTAGGGGTTTAGTTAGGCTTGTTGTATTATATAAAAGGCACATGTACCTCTTTCAAAATTAATAAGAAAAACAACAAGCTAATTTAGACCTGCAACATATATGACCGATGATTCTAGTTTGTGAAGGTCACTCAAAAGTTTTGTAATTTGGCACTAAGATTTCTAGTTTTAGGTATGTTTGTTCTAATAGGAATTTCCTATTCTACCTTTTCTGATTGGTTAATGGTGAAAAAACACGCAAACATTCAAATGCCTTTAAAATCACAAGTTCATAGAATGAGAGGGCATTGGTGATAGGGTTCATCCCCTTGCTTGATGACTTTTCCTGAAGGCTATGAGAAAAAGAGTTTTGGTGCTGTATTATTATAGCCCTTTCCCTCGAGGGTTGGGGGGTTGACAGGAGTTAGGGGAGGGCTTAATGAAAGTAGTGTCATTCCACTCTATTAGCATCCATCTTACAGAGAAGTTTCTAGTTTACTGGCCGATGTTTTCCAGTCTTTACTCTCTGGAAATTTATTTATTTACTAGAGTTCAGAATATGTTCACATATATTTTTTTTCCTTTTTCTTTGTCTTTTATGATAAGGTGCCACATTGAATATTATGATATGATAAAAAATTTCTGAAGGCCAGCCTTTGTCTAGTTCTATTCTCTCAAAGATATTTTTATAATATGCTTGTTCTCTAACTCTGTTCAAATGCAATTGAAGGTTCTTTGTAATCTTCCTAGCCTTCTTTGGGAGGATGGGTAGCTTAGTTTATGTATTTAGCTTTCAATGTTGAAATTCAATTTCTTACTTGAACAAGAGAAAGTATATAGTTTGATAGACGAAATTGTATCTTTTTTCTTGGATGGGAAATTAGAATATGATAATGGATACAATTTTACTGTTAATTTTGATGAGCTTTCTGACTTAACAGTTGATGGATATCAATGAAAGCCCTGTATATGTTCTTCTCAATCCTTCAATTAATCATGCCCAAAAGGATCTCCCAGTCACGATTTATGAGAGTGGTAATATGTCTTGTTTCTTTTCTTCTTCTTTACATGGTTTTTGTCTGCAGTGTGTTATCAATAAATTTCTTTGGTTATATGATCATTTGTCTTCATCATTCTCATGCCAATTCTCAGGTATATCATCCATGATTTCCATGGTGGTGAATATTAGTGCGCATAGTTTGGTTTTCATATACTCAGGAATTGTCATCTTATTCTGAAACCCTGGTCTTTTACTTTTTTTTTTTTTTTTTTTTTTTTTTTTTTTTTTTTTTTTTTTTTTTTTTTTTTTTTTTTTTTTTTTTTTTTTTTAATAATCTTTTGGCATTCAAACTATCATGTTGGGAAGCATCAAGAAGTCTATAACTTTTCTCTTGGATGGTCACAAGTTCAAGGGATAGTAACAGAGTTCTTGGCAATTGATCCATTCTATGTGAAGTTTCGATCAAAAGAAATTGGAAAGTATTCCAAGCTTAGTAAGCTGTTTTCTGGGGAACTGTTAGGAAAGAACTATCCGTATATTGCCAAGAGGAAAACTCTGGAATGCTGATGATATGGTATTTGTCTTTGGGATATAATACTTCTAAGATAAAAAATATATATTTGGTGTATAATATGGATTATATATCTATATATATATATATATATATATATTTGAGAAGAGAATGTGAAACTTTGACTTTTTAAATTATGAGGTCTTTTTAATGCCTGGCTTACAAATTTGTTGCATTTATCACCCAATCCACCCAATTTCACCTTCAGGGGGACATTTGTTCAAAACTTGAAACATTTTCATCTTGTCCTCAATTTAGAGATGTCACTTAGAAAACAACATATTGCATGTGGCAGGTGACAAGGGTGTGCGCAGTCATGGCATTTACTGTCTAAATTGATTGTTAGATTTTGATATAGAGGGGAGGCAAGATAATTATGAGGAAAAAATAAAAAATTTGGGCTCTTAGAAAGCTATTTTAACCAAAGGCCTTCTAAGGGTGATTGTCATGAGGGGTGGACGTAGGTTTTGTTTTTGTGCACCCCAATGAAAATTACTTGTCTTGCTCTTAAATTACTCGTTACCACAATATTCCCATGGTAAAATTCCACTAGAAAAAGATTGAGAAAAAAATTGTTTGCATGGTGGTATTAACTCTTGTTTTTTGTTTGTGGTTTCTACAACTATAGAGCTACATGTTATTGAAGGGATTCCTCAGCTAATTTTTGTTCGCTCAAGTTACACTATAGAGGTTTGTTTGCTTGGTCGCTCCTTGTGTCCTTCAAACTTGTTGCAATTCTGGTTATTGAGTTTCTCGCAAATTTTCCTGTTCTTACTCTTTAAAGACAGTAGAAGCTGAGCGAATTTCTGTTGATCATGTTGCGCATTTGAAACCATCTGACGGAGGCTCTGCTGCTACTCAACGTGAGTGATCCAATACCTCTATGTATTTTAATCTGGGGTTAAACCTCGTTATTTCTTATTGCCAGAAAGAAAATTATTATGATTTGATATGTTTATAATGAGAGAAATTTTGTCTTCAATGTAGTGGCTGCTCACCTTGCGGGTATTCACAGTGCCATCAAAATGCTAAACAGCAGGATCAGGATACTTCACAGTTATCTTCTGGCAATGCAAAATGGTATTTTCTTTTCTGTACTATGCATAAAAATGTTTATGATGAAAAATTTTAAGAGTATAAAAGCCCAGGGTGGTTATTCCTTTTCTTTTTATTAGTTGTGGTTAGGCTCTGATTTCTGATCATTGTCCGAACATGGCTGCTACATTTAGTGGTTCTAATTCTTCCTGAAACTTGTGATTTAATGGCTCAATTTGAGATTGATATTTTCTATCTGTTATTCTTTGTATCAGGGGATGTTCCCATGGAGAGTTCCTTACTAAGACAAGTGTCAAGTTTGCTCAGAAGATTGCCGGTTACTGAATCTATAAAGTTTCAAGATGATTTCCTGATGGTGAGTGCTATCGCGCATCTCACATGTTATTTCCCTGGCCCTGGTTTTTCCTGCAGTTAAAATTTTAAATGTTTGCACCAAAAATTTAGACATTACTTTGATTTGTGATTAGTTATTCTTACTTCCATAATGTCCCTCCTTTCAGGACTATAATGACACAATGTTGATTACATATCTAGCTATGTCCACTAATTGCTCAAGGTATGATATTTCTGATCATATTGTATACTTTAGATGTGGAATACTCTGTATGTGGCTGCTAACTAGATTAGAATCACAAACATATGCTCAGTATCATATGATCTCGAAAAATAGAATCGTTACCCTGGAAATGCCAAGTGCGTGGTAAACAAAGTACGTTTTTTAGAGCAGTATTTGTAAACATTTCTACCCATTTTGACTTTTTCAAAGCTTATATGATATCAGATTTAAACATTTTTTTTTTTTCATTCTAATTGTCAATTTAAAGAAATTTACTATTTCCCCAACGATGATCTCACAAACAAAAAGCTGTCGTCTCAAATTCATTTCCCACATCTTAACTCGTCACATCATGGGTTTAAGTGGATTTTTTAGTTACTAAAATGTTTCTTTTTCGACTTATGCTAGTCAAATTGAAAATTTATCAATTATCTCATTTCCATGCGTATATTTTCTTCATTCCAATTATGTTTGAATTTGGAAGGGAGAAAATTACATTCTAGATTGCACGTTTAGTGTACTTGAGTATGTCTATATTGAATGAATGTTCAATGTGGATGCACGCTCATACTCTTAGTGTTGGTAGCTTGTATAATTTTTCTAATGTTATCAAGCATTACATAGTTAGGATCTTGTCCATAAAATGCGTCCATGCAGGTGTGTATGTAGAGTTTGCTTTTGCAAATATGTACGCTATACATTACCTCTTCCAACAGATCTTTGCTTACATTTATAAAAGTTCAAAACTCCTTCCTTTTAGTGAAAAAAAAAAGGTTGATTCTTCTTCGGCCCTTCCCTATTTACCGAGTGAAAGAAAAACGAACAAGAATGAGTGAAGACTATATAAGCTGATCTTCTACTAATGAAACTAAGGGGCAGCATTCTTAATTGATCAATTTCAAGTTATCTGGTTGATGGATACGTTACTGTACTTCTTTTTGAAGCATTTGTGCTTCTTTCTCCTTGGTTTTGCATGCATACCAGTAATTATCAAACTTTCCCTTGAGAGTATACTACTATTGTGAGGATGTCGAGCACTAAGTTGGTAGTATATTACCCTATGCGTTGTCCTAGCATTAATTCTTGTCTTATCTGTTCGCACTGTTCTTTTTCCTCTCCTCACCTCACACCCAACACTTACTTTCCAGTATAATGAACGAGCTGATCGAAAAGTTCAACACTGCATACGACCGACATAGTCGAAGAGGTGGCCGAACAGTTTTTATATGAAAGCCCAACTGCCAACAGAAAGTTCAGGTACTTCAATGATACTGCTAGGATTTGAGTGGTTCTGAAAGCATGATATAGGAATTACTATCTCTTTTGTTTTGTTTTTTGCTCTTAATTCCTATGTATGGATGCTGTAGCAGTGAAAAATGGTTTGAACATGCATGATCTCCCTCCCTTTCCCTCTACATAAGGCCATCTGTTACACATATGAGGACACAGTTTAGCTCTAGAGGATGCAGTATGTAATTCGAGAGAGAGAGATTAATGGGCAAGCCCTCCTCAAAAGGGTAGACCAGTTGAGTTGAGTGGACTTTACTTCCTTGACTCCTCATTTGATACTTCTCCCAGTTTTAAGATGCATATTACCTTCCACCTATCTAAGTCAGATCTTATGGAGAAGTATTTTTCTGTGTGAGTTGTGTAAAAATTATCGTATCAGTTTTTATCGTAAACTTTCAATTTTATTACCATGGACGTTATATACTTAAACAAGCGTGTACGTTATATACTTAAACAAGCGTGTAGCAACTCTGCCCTTTGGTTATTTTCAGTTAATTTACTTGCTAATTGTCACGTTATATATATATATATATATATATATATATATATATATATATATATATATGTTAATTTAAATAAAATTGGATTAATCAAAGAACAAATTAACCATTGATAACTAAAACTCAGATTTTCATATGGATTTTTTTAGAGTTAAAAATTGGAACTAATGTTTAAGATTGAGATGGTTATTCAATATGTTTTACAATTAGATTCTTAATAAAAAAAAGTGTGATTGGTTCCCAAAGAAATGAAACAAAAGATTTAAAAAAGTGATAGGTGTGATTTTTCTTGAAGAAATGTCAAACAAAAGATATATTAGAGCTAAGACAGTTATCGTATGAAATCTACAATGCATGATGCAGAGGTGCATAATAGATCGATATGAACATTATGAGATGTTCTCTAATAAAACCTGTTGTTCCTTCTTCTCTATCTCAAGCTCGGAGAAGGAAGAGGTAAAAGGATTCTACAGAGAATATGGTTAGAAATCTATAATAGAGTTAGTAGGAGCCAAAATTGACTACGAAACCATTATTTTCCCTTTAAAATCGATAACAAAATGATTTCTTTCAAATATTATGTTTAATCTTTCTGTTGCACCATGTCTTAACATTTGTATATTATGAAGAGCTGTATTTCTATGCACATTCATTCATCGACATTCCCCAATGCGTTGTGAAATTAAACTAAGAGTGTAGAAAATACTCTTTATGTGTTACAAGTTCGACTAAGAGTGTTTCACTTTTTCTTCTATTTTTTTCTTTAGTTAAACATGTGGATAATTCGAACTTCTAATCTCTTGAACGGTAGTATGTAACACGAAAGAACTCATCCTAGTGTATGTACACTTTCAATTTGCTACAAAAAAGAGGTTCATTTTACCGAGGCATTCAGCTAATCAAGGGGGTTCTAGCTTCACGTTTAAAAGACTAATGAGACTACCCGTGAGAGTAAGTTTCTAATGCATCCTATAAATTTCTAGGAAGTTGAGAGAAAATCCGGTTCTCTTGATTTAGATGCCACAATTTCTCATTTTCCTAACTCACTCAATATCATCAATCAACTTTGTATAGAGTATAATTCTGCTAAAACATAAGAGTGTGGAAACCTTCCTTTAGCACGTTTTAAAGCTTTGAGGGGAAGCCCAAAAGGGAAAGCCCAAAGAGGACAATATCTGCAAGGGGTGGGTCTAGGCCGTTACAAATTGTATCAGAGACAAACACCGGTCAATGTGTCAGCCTTCTCGCTGTTCCTCGAAGGGAGTAGACACGAGGCAGTGTGCTAGTAAGGGCGCTGGGCCCAAAGGGGGTGGATTTGGTGGCAGTCCCACATCGATTGGAGAAAGGAACAAGTGCCAGCAAGGACGCTGGGCCCTGAAGGGGTGGATTTGGTCGCGGTCCCACATCAAATGGAGAAAGGAACGAGTGTCAACGAGGACACTGGGCCTCAAAGGTGGGGGAGGGGGTTGTGATTTCTCACATTGGTTGGGAGGAGGACAAAAACACAATTTATAAGGGTGTAGAAACATTCCCCTTGCATACACGTTTTGAAGCCTTGAGGGGAAGCCCAAAGAGGACAAATATCGAAGCCTTGAGGGGAAGCCCAAAGAGGACAAATATCTGTGGCTGTTACAATCAGACACTAAATGGAAATTTTAAACAATAGTAGCTAAAAAACAGCTAAAGGCTCTCATATATCTAAATATAATTCAAATATAATGCCAACGTAATTCTATATTTCCATCCATCCAACAATCATTTTGATCTATGGAATTGCCATCCATCATGGCATCCAACTTCACAGCCTTCCAAACACAATGCCAACCAAGGTCGTTTGGAACAAAACTTAACTAAACCAACATTTCCATCACTACTCAAACGAGTATTGCCTATTCCTAGCCATTGTAACCCAGAAAACAGAGGCTCCCTAAATGACCTACAAGCATCAATTGATAAAGCAATGCAATTAAAAAGATCGAGCCTGCAGAGCGACTTACCTTCACCTTCGAAATGTTTCTTCATCGCCAAAGCTTCCACCGAAGAATCGGTCACATGGAAGCAAGATCTGATGCATAACTCGGTAATACCGACACCAACAGAAGCAATTATTTGGATTGCTCTATCAGTTATACCCGAAATGTGTCCAATATCCAAGACAGACAACGTCTTGCTCACTGTCCCGCCACCATGAAACAAACGATAGATTCCTTCGTCGGTTACTCTCTTACAACTTCGAAGAGACAATCGTACGATGGGTGGCCTTCCCTGACCAAGAACAGATAAACCGAAGTCGGTTACATCAGTTGCAGTTAGAATCAATGATGATAAATGGCACAAAGTGGAAATGGAATCCAGGCAAGAATCTGATATGCTCTTGCAGCCACATAGATCAAGGACTTCCAAGCGTGTAGAGTAGGCCAAATGCTTCACAGATTCACAAGTTATGAGACTACAGGAAAACAATCTCAACTCTGTCACAAAGCAACCAATGGCATCAAACCCGTCAAATGCCAGGTCTGACAAATATAATGCATAACGAATTTCGAATTTTTTCAGCCTATTGCACGAGTGAAGGATTGACGCAAAACCAGCATCGCTGACTTTCGAGAATCCACAGAATCTCACCGACTCGAGACCTTTGCAACCCTCAGACAAGAGAAACATACCCATATCATTCAACTTTTTGAAAGAGACTTGGTGATTATATCTACCACGCATTAGAGACAGTGATTTCAGATTATGACAAGTGCTCAACGAATGAAGTCCCCTATTGGTCAAGTCAAGGTGCACCAATTGTTCGGGGTTCGCCATGTCTTCCAAGTGAAGCTCTACCAAAAAAGGAAGAGAGTCAACAATGGTCATAATTAACTCATCAGAAATAACATCCAAGGTAAGTGACAAGCACTGCAACATTAACCCTGTAGATAAAGGAGGAGATTCAAAGTTTCTGGAACAGGGGTTGATTAAGGAGTTCCCAGAATCTCTTAGTTTGTTTATGATGCAAATTGCATCTTCATGAAGCAGTGACTTCAACTTCAGTGTTTTTGTGGTTTTGGGAAGAAATGCTTCAACAGCACTAAAGGAATTAGTCTCAACATTTCCTGCTCCTCGAATCTTTAAGGATATTGACTACCATTTGATGAAAAAAAAACGATATTACTACTCAATGATTGTTAAAATTTTGTTTAAGAACCGAAGCAGAATGAAAATTGTTAAGAAATGATGAACTAAACCAGAGGAATATAGTATCGTATCAACTTACATCCAAGAGCAAGCATTTTGTGAGCATTTCAGCCAAGTTTCTGTTGAATTCTTCGTAATCATCTTGAGCTGCCAATTCAAGCACAAGAACCCTAACATAACATGAATAAATCACGTAAATACGTAATAAGAAACGGGATCCACACATTCAAGAGACCAGATGCATTTTAATTCTACCTCAAGAACAGACAATAAACAAGTAATCAAACAAAGAATAGCAGAATCCCAACCCTAAAAAGGAACAAGAACAGAAAACGTTCGATTCATTCAATCGCACTGCCAAATATGAAGATATCTGATATTTTCACCTCAGATTAGGACAAAGTTTGCCTACTTCAGCAAGGAATTTACTAGAGAGTGAAGAGCAGCAAAGCAAATTCAGCTCGAGTAAATTAGGTCCAAGAAAATCCACGAGAGAAGAATCATCAAGGCGAAGGCAATTAACAGTCAGGCTTCTCATGCCTCGACACCGACCTAGAATGCCAGTCTTCAGAGTACGAGAATCTGGAAAGAAAGTCTGCGATTGAAAATTTCAGCATCAAAACATCTCGCCTCGATTGCTTAGCAAACTATTGAGAAAAACAAACGCATGTTAACGTACGATGGGAAGATGGAGAGTGGAGAGAAAGGAAATGGCATCAACGACGGCGAATTGTAGGGCTTTACTGACGCAGGCGACGGAGCAGAGGGTTTCGGGGTCCAATTTCAACAGGATCTCCACTAGAACGCTGCGAGGGAATCTCTGCAACGCCATTTTCTTCTTCGTCGAGCTTTTTCGGCTCTGTAATTTATCTCCGGTGACGGCTCAACGTATGAATCAAAAATCATGTTCTTCTTCAAGCTTCAACATCTCGAGGGATTGAACCTTCCACCTTAATCGATGAATATTTTCAACCTATAATTTCAACAAACATTCCACTCATAATTATAGTCTTATTAATAGATTTTAAAAATAAAAAACCTTATATAATCTATTTTCATCATTGTGGTATCAGTTAGATGAACAAGAACTCTTCACAATGTATGTATGATATTGTCCACTTTGAGCATAATCTCTCATGACTTTGCTTTACGATTTCCCAAAAGCCTCATCCCAATGATCATTCCCTAAATTAGTTTGATATGAAACTTTTATCATCCAACACCTCCTCTCGAACGAAGTACGTCTCCCTTTAATCGAGACTCAACTCCTTTAGAGTCTTAGTAATTTTTTACTATGTCTTTGAGGAGGCTTGACTTCTTTTCTTTTTGGAGTCTTTTGTTCGACATTTGAGGATTTACTAATCTATTGGCACAACAAAGTTTAGGGCATGACTCTGATACCATATTAGACGAACACGACTCTCTACAATGGTATGATATTGTCCACTTTGAGCTGAGTCGTGATCGTTTAACAATATCCATAGACCACATACATATTATGTGTTGATTTTAGAGTAAATGACGGGTACATTAATGAATTTAAACTGTGTCAACGACAGATTATGAAGATAGGATAACTAAAAAAATATTTATTTGAATTAAAAATCACTATCTATATCAGTAAGGACAAAACATTGAAGAACTTGTATGAGTTTATAGAGACCGATACCGTGAGAATTTAATATTAAAAAGTTTGTTTAATAAATAAAAATGGTATGTAAAGT